ATTTAGCTTCAAGCTCACTCCTGATCGCATTGAAATTGCTCATTTAATGGGTTGAAATTTCTCGCGCACTCAATTGGGTAAGTAAGCCCTAAGGCCTAATTAAACCGAAGTAAAACGAATTAGGGTAACATTTCTCAACTAACATGCATTATTTCTGCCTGCTTTACCCAAATTTATCACTAAAATTAATTTTAGGTTAAAAGAACCATGTAAAATTATTTCGTTTCCATGATCCGTATGGGCTGGTTCTCCAAATGCTTCCTTAATTTAAAGTAATTAGAAGCTCTATGTTCCCTAACTTCCGGACTGCAGATTATTATTAGTAATTATATAGTACACTAATTATATAGTACACTACCATTCAGATTTATTTCATTAATATTAAATAAAAATGTTGTATATAAAGTTTTAAAATTTATTATTTGTTCATCAAATATATTCCAGGTGTTTCAGCCTTCCCCAGTAGTTCAGGTTCAGCTCCCTCATGCCGCTGATCCTCTACTTGAAGGTACGCTGTATATCTTTGTGTTCACGATAGCGTCTTTGTGCTGTGGAGAATTATGGACCTTATGGATGAATAAAATATGGAAAATTTATTATCCATGTATGCATTTTTTTAAGTGATTCAAGACTAGATCGATGCAAGAAACAAGCCTCATTAATTACTAATCTTGATCGAATTCATGTAGTAACTTTCAGCTTTCCGTAGTAGGGAGCTCAACGTTATTTACATTGTTCAAGAGGTTTGTATCTATAAGAAGTAGTCGGCAATTAAGATATACTGCATAATAAATAACACTTTTCTAATAAATAATTTGTAACAGAATTCGAATTACTCTCAGAAAAGAGGATGGAGAGAACTGAGTCAAGGTGTTAAACTTTGATAAAGGAAATGGTCTGTGCTGTAAACGTTTGAAATTCGTGAAGAATTATCAATAGATTTCATCGATTGTACACCTCAGATCATGGCACATGTAACCACTGATTGTGGCGACGGGGTAACATATATAAACAAGCAGGTAACATAACTGTCATCTAAACCCTATTAAAATGAAACAAGTTAATTATATCCCACTTTAGCAAGTCATTCAATTAAAGTGCAACAACATCGAGAGACATATCATTCGATTCGTAAAGGCCAAATCTAGCGATCATCCGATCATTTTTCTCAATTTTTTCCATTTATGTGATTTTTCAATATATTGAATTCAATGCACCATTTTTTTTTCAAATATAATCCAAACTAAAGAGAACTCCGAAAAAGTAACCGAGATCGATAGATCAGGTTTTTATAAATCGAATGGTATATATATATAGGCCAAATCTAGCGATCCTCCCATCACTTTTCCGAATTTGTTTTCCACTTAAATGATTTTTCAATAAATTGAATTCAATCCCCCCATATTTTCAAAATATAATCAAAACAAAAAATAATTCTGAAAAATTTACCTGATGATCGCTAGATCAGGTCTTTAAAAATTGAATGGTATATCTCTCAATGCTGTGGTTGGAAAATCATTGGAGGAGATAGATTTTCAAGATGAAAATTTAAAATTTTCAGGAGAGCCAAAAAACTGAAATTTGTGATCATTGAAGGTATAGTTTTATCCACGGCTTGGCAAGGTTCGTGAACGAGCAAATGAAAGCACAAACATTGCTTTGGGCTCTTGATATGCGCAATTTTTGGACTTTCAGAATGAGCTTAAAAAGCGGCAAAGTCTTAATTATCAATTTTTGACGTACATGCCCCCCTTAAGTTAACCTCTGGGTAATAGGACTTGATGATGTGCCACTGTAGAGGTGGAATGGATCGATTAGAATGCGTTGTGCAGAGAAGAGTTGATTTACATTGAACATGAAGATTCATTGTGCCCTTAAGGAATGAGCCGAAATTGGTCCGTTTCATAGCTTATTCCAAGAAGTCCTTTCAATGTATTCCTAATACAAATATTTTAACTTCATATAAAATATTATATGTCGTTCCGACAATCAAAAACGTTGCTATATTATTCTTCTATACATCGAAGAATAATATTTGTTATTACTTTTTAATCAAAACTCATGAAGTTGTCCGTGGACTATATTCATTAGTTGCGAAATCTTGATCATAGAGCATGTGGCACGCATCAGAGTATAGGGGTAACATATCTAAACTGGCACATCAAACATAAGTCATTTGATTTCATAACGCTGAAACGCATAGACCATTATTCATTATTTTATTGAATTATTTAAGAGTATATCAAGCCCCTAATAACTTCAGTTAAACGTAAGCTCAATCCAACACACATGCAGTTGCAGCTTCATGAGAAATCGTTTGAGATTGAAGTAACTGAAAAATACCAGCCTCTCCTCACTGACGATATAAGTCAGCTTGACCTCTTAATAAAGCTGTCGTATATAACACCAATAAATATTAACATGTGAGGCACATTGCCCAATTTTAAGGATTTTCTGTTAGGCGTACAAGTTATTCATTCTTTGATGCAGCAGCTCAGCATTCGTAGTGTTGCTATAGGTATAGTGTTTCAGCACTCAGAGCAGTTATGTTATTAGATCAGTTATTCTTCAAAACAAGTCTATAATGTTCATGCTCAGTGATAGCTATCTTGAATCCACTTGAATTCCATCATTTGGCGACGGCTGCTGCGAAAATCGCAATTTTGATATATTTTTGAACCCTGAGTTATCCTCTGGATGGCTAACTGGGATTGTAGCTAAAGTGTGACTTACGAGTAGTTGACGATTAATGTCCTCTCAGTGAGGAATTGCAAATGCTATTACACCGAGTGTACCGTAGGTACTTTACTGTATAAATATTTCGTATTTTATTTATTATTAAATAATATGAAACGGGCAGAATTTATTTTTAACTTTACTCATTACCGTATTGGAATTGCTCATTTATTAGTTATAAAATTTCTCTCGCTCAATATGGTAAATGAGCCTTAAACCGAAGTAAAACGAATTAGGGAAAGATTTCTTAACTAACATGCATCATTTCCGTCTACTTTACCCCAAGCTATCACTATTATAAATTTTAGGTTGGAAGAATCAGGAAAAAATAATTCCGTTTCTCTGATCCGTAGGAGCAGGTTCTTCAAAAGTATTTTTTTAATTTAGAGTAATTGGAAGTTCTATTTTACGCAACTTCCAGACTGTAGGTTTATATTGATAATTACATAGTACGCTACCATTTCAGATTTATTTCATTAAAATTATGAAAAACGTCGTGTAACAAAGTATTAAAATTATTCATTTTGTTCATCGAATTATTCATTTTGTTCGCTCTAAGTTTAGCGCCTGTATGCACCCATAATCATTTTTATTGATAAATAAGGAAGAAATGACGAGTTCAGATACACATAATTATTTAGAATTATTATTCAGCTTGAAGCTCAACCTGATTTCAGACTGTTTATATGAGACAATCCATGTGAAAAATGCACGGCCAGCAACGTTAAATAAAAAGTTACAACATGATCTTGTTCGACAACATTTAAAGACAGTGAGGGAGATGCAAACGAATATTAAACACTCTACCGCCCGACATGAGTGTTAACGACACGTACAACTGTAAAATGTTCTCTGTTGCGTACAAAGTCTTCAGGTTACTACACTCAATAGTTTACGTATAATTTAAGTTGAAAGTTATGTTACCGGAGAGTGAAATACTGCGGTAGAGAGTTAAGATGAAGAGGTAATTTGTGCAGCGCTTCCTAGAACAGCGCTGCAGCAGAACGCAACAAGCCCACCTCCATTCATCGCTTGTTGCACGTCTTGTGCTCTACGTTACCTGTGACTTCAGACCGTGGATTAATATTGATATTTTTTAAGAAGCTTGCCATTTGACATTCATTTTCTTAGCATTATAACTATGACGATTGCATTGACTTGATAAGCGGCCGATGTAGTGTGAGGAAACATTCTTTTGTGAAGGAGCGAGCAATGTAAATATAACTGCTTGAAAATGAAAATTGTATTTTCGAAACTTCGCAATCCATTAAAATGTCATTTGATGACCTGCTTTTTGATCTTCCGGCGCCAGCAAGAAATTTTGATAGACTCGTTGAAAAAACGAACAAAAAAATTATTAATAAAAAGCATGCTCTGGTCTTTTATGAAATTTGCAATGTAAATACGGGCAGAAATAAGCTTTGAATTCAATCCATGATATATAGGCATTTAGTATGATGGCAAGCGAACTAAAACTGTGTTGTAGACTGTTCTAAATGACAACCTCCGAGTCACAACTCTAAAGCATGCTTACATTTCGTCCATCTACAGAAATGCAAGTCTTTTTAACACGTTAAAAGTCTTCAGAGTTTAGCATCCAAAGGGTGGCCCAGTGGTTGAAGTTCAGAGTACCAGGATTGGAGCAGAGAGTTGCGTGTTCGAGACCGCAACAAGCTGAGAATGTTCTGCAATGTTAAGAATCGGCAACAGGCCTACGGCTTAATGAACAATGGATCAGCTATTATTATCAGTATTATATGAATCACTAAGGCTAGACAAGTGTTTCGAAGTCCTGGAAGGATCCACACCCGAGGGATCCTACAAATTCTTCTCTAATTCCTGAATTTTAGTCACTTTATTATTGTGCAAAAACCTTCAAGGCAAATTATGTTTAGTCATCAACAAACTTTTTGTGATGTAGGCAGGAATTCTAAGTCAAATTACCTCGTGCATTGAGAAGGTATATTGGCACATAATAAGTAGTAGTAAACGTACATAATTGCCCTGCATATAAGAGGAAGCGTATACAATGTAAATAAAAATTCATAAAGATTAACTTATAGGTAAGTAAGTATTAAATGTTATGAGGCTACATGGAGTACAGCTTTTAATATTTAAACAGAAGTACTAAATAAATTGGGCCGCTAGCATACAGAAAACAGAGCTGCTGGACATGTAACATTTGCTTCTGCTACTTTAATTTCTGACGCAGGAAGTTTGAGATCACAGAAAATTATTCAACAGAATTTTTTCCCCGGAAAATATGAAAGCTTCAAAGATGTGAAGATATTTCTCAACAAAGTTTAATCGGTCAACTTACCCCAGAATAAAAGAAACATACCAGAACAGAACACAAGAAATAACATAAGCTTTACACATACAAAAGATACATTGTTATAGTTAAAAAATTCGAATAGTCTTTTTTGTGACCTTTATTTTAGCGCCAGCTCTCTCAGCAGCACAGCTCCAATTATCACTTGATTAGTTTCTAAACCTATAACCTTCCTATGAGGTGGCACCTATAACCTTCCTATGAGGTGACACCTATAGCTTTCCTATGAGGTGGCGTGTTGGAATATGAGGTAATGGTCACCTCGTCTTGCCGTCGCGTATGTGTCATTACCATCATAAAACAAATTCTTGAAGTCCTTGAGCATCACTGAACAGGTTGCCTTGTCGTCATCCTCGCTCTCACCGACTATCTTGATGACTTGGTTGTAGAAAAGCTCTCGTTCTAACCTCTTCATGAAACTCTCATCTTCTGCATTGAAACTGTCCAGCTTGCGCCCTAAATCCTGCTCCATTTCATCCCGGTTAGCCAAATAATACTCCATATTGCAGGACAGCGTCACCGTCAGCTGTTTCAGAGCTTCTTCAAAAGGAATTTTTTCAACAGTCTCCACAGTCTTGTTTGGATCAAATGGTTCAGCATCTTGCCATTCCTGCGAGTAAAGAGAATCAAATTTCTCCCTTGACTCAAAATAAATCGAGGGGATCAACCCCAGCGAGAAGTCATAGTCCCCGAAACTCGAGGCTTTCAGCTTCGGGGTCAGAACTTTGTCGCTGGACCAGTCATCCTGGCCCTGGAGACATTTGACCACATCTTGGTTAGGTCCATCCTTGTGTAAATAAACCTGGTTTGTGCTGTCTACGGCCATGACGAGTGGCGCCTGCATCAGAGAGTAAGTGCCACTCTCAAGCTTCTGCCGGGCATCACTTTGGAGGCTACTCAGCATCTGGGCAGCCATCGTACACAGGGGGGTCCTGCACATAAAAAGAATGGTCAAGACATGGACAAGACAGAGGGAATTGTGCTATCAGAGGTCAGAACTTAATAGGAAAATATGGTCAAGACATAGGGAAATGTGCTGTTAAATATACAGGCAGATTTTGATAGGAAACTACAATCAGATGGATAGATAGTCACAGCAAAGCTTTCAGGAGACTCAAGAAATTGCCTTCAAACCATCTTTGCTGTTTGGAACTCTCTAGTCCTAGCACTCCCCAGCTGCTCTAGCTTGAAGCTGCTCTAACCCAAGATTCAAAATTTTATCATTTTTAATAAACCAATTATCATAATTTAATTACAGTATTTAGTTTGAGCAGAAGTAAACTACTGGTTAAGTTGCCTCAAAAATACTGGCAATGGAAGAAATGTTATATTCTCAGATGCCACAACCAGTTTAACTCTGAATATTCATTCAAGTGAATATTGTTTCATTGAAACAATTGTGAAAACTTTGTAATAAATCATTTTGGTCATATTACCAACAGCAATAAAAATTAATAATAATTATAAATATAACAAAAATGACAAAAAAGGCTAAAGGCAATTATTTCCATAAAATCTGACATTAACAATCAGTGTTACATCAATCAATTAGTAGGAAAGTTGATTTGTGAAAGATATTTCTATTGAACATCAAAAACCTGTACAGTTTGGGATTGAACCAAACTTTTATGCATTGACAGCTCATTTCTAAAAAGCCATTGTTCTAAGACACGAATTAATTTTTCAATACATGTTTAAAACTGTTCAATTTTGTTGACATTAACTTGAACTTAAACAAACTTGTCTCCAAATAAAACCAAAGAACGTTCGTCTCACCTAAGAACTCCAAGTAGCTTCCTTGACAAAGCTGCCAGATTGCACTGCCGTCCAGGAAAATATGTGGCCAGATGGCCAAAATATTTAAAATGCCTCCAATATTGTGTTTCCGATGAGAACTACGGGCTAGAATTTGCAGAAAACTGATGACAATTGTTTTTCAAATATATATATATTTACTTGCTATTTCTTTAATTAATGTCCCTGCATTGAAAAACTTACATCTGTCAAAAATCTGCAAAAAAATAATAGATCAAGATAAAATTCTGCCACCTGCTGCCAAACATAAGAGATTCAGGGAATTGAAAGCTTGGTGTAAGCAGGAATAGAATTTTCCTACTTGTTTCTGAAATCTCGCGGCTTCAACATGACAAATTTTTTATACATTTGGAATCTTGCGGCCCGATTGTGCATTTTTGTTAACAATTATATAAGAGGTAATTCATCTGGCAGAAATCTCACGGTTCCAGAATTTGTTGGAAAGCTCTAGTTGCGGCCCTAAAGTTAGAAGTTTTCCATGCTTGGGTGTAAGCAATGGTATCCAAAATTAAAAAATTCTCATGACCAAGCTCTCGTTCAGAAATTTTGGGCAATTTTCAGCACAAGCCAATAAATATTGTTCAAATTTTAGGCAATTTCTCATACAAAGCAGCGAGCAACCAAGCATATGACTGAAGTCTAAGCTGTCCAACCTTATGCCAACTTAGCTTTAACATAATTTGCATTAACACATTGACTCCGAAATGGTACATATGCGTACCACAAAATGTATTTCTCCCGGACTGAGTGGTACTGGTACATAATTATGGTTGCCTAAAATCGGCCAAATCCGAGAACAAAAAATGCCAATAACTCAATATATAATGGTTTATTTGTAGGTTCCGTTATAAAAATTCCATATATTTTCCTTTTGCAGTATATAAAATTTAATTAGGAAGTACCCCCATCATAAATTTTAGCTGGCCAATGCAATTGAGAAAAACTAAATCATGGAATTTGTCCGGAAAAAATGACTGTCTGGCACACTGGCAACCCTGTTTGAAAACCGTACAAAAAGTCAAATAATAGTACAAGATGAAGCAATTGGAGTCAAAGTGTTAAACAAAGAAAAAGCTGCTGCCAGTCAGAATAGAAACAATTTTTCATTTGTACCGTCAACCGGGGCTACTCGGGACGATTTCAAACGTCTTTCATTCATAACTTCTAATCATGAAACATTTCATAAACAAGTTTAGGCTCATTTCAAAGCTCTTTGCAAGGGCTATCACATGGCTTCTTCAAAAAAATTTCATATGCTATTCGTAAGGTGCCAGAAGCAAAAAAAAGAGTGTCCCGAGTAGCCCCGTCTAACGGGGCTACTCGGGACACTTGGAATAAAACTTAATTTTAAAACGTTTGAAGCATGCAGAGTGTACTCATCCATTACTAACAGTACTCTGAAGTCCTCCTCTTTCATTGTAGATGATGTAGAGGTAGAATAAATGACATTTTCTGTGATTTTTACTTCTTTATCCTTTATTGATATATTACCATATACATTAATTCCCATATTATTGATGCAATATTACCATATCCATGAACAGGCCATTGAGCATTTCAACCACCTTGTCCACTGCAAGCTTCATATCAGCAGCCTTATAGCATTTTTTCTGTATCTGTAAGCTTACAGGACGGCTTGTAATTTCACACCATTTTAATAGGGTTAAGTGAATTTACTATAAAAAAATATGAAACAGAAATACCTGAAACAGAAAGGAATGTTTTAGTGACAACCATCTTATGTTTTGGAGAAATAAATCATAGTTTAGGTCAATTACTTTTCATTCTTTGATGCCTGGTGCACAATTCTATATACAATTTTGTGATGACCAATGATGCACTAATTTTTCGATAAGTGAAATTTTTTTTGCTGAGCGAGGTAAATGTAATCAATATTCTTTGTTTTTAATCAATTTTTTTCCTAACTGGAGCCTTTGCTAACTGAGGTTCTACTGTAAATGCGTTTTTGGGGGTGTCCCACTCCCAAATGGCCCCAGGGGGGGTGTCCTGAGTAGCCCCGCTATGCGGAAATAGCCGCCATTTTTTTTGGATTGAGGTATGTAAATTCCACAAATAAAGTTTTCATGCTGACACTTGTCTGCCACTTTTTCAAAGCGAAATTTTTTAATACGGCAAATATTTTTTTTTACTACAGACCTTAGCAGAAGTATATAACTTTTCAAAATATTGTTTTTCACCATTTTTTTCAAGAATTTTTCAAAGCTAGTAAATGTAGTACCTATTTTTGAACTTCCTTTATGCTACATAGATAGGAAAAATGTTAACGTTCACACCACTGACCACTATATTTAGTTTTGCAAAATTCCAATTAGTTTTGCTACTAAAACTGTTTTACGCCATGTCGGAGGACTGTCCTGAGTTACCCCGCCCGTTCTGAGTAGCCCCCATTGACGGTATCCAATCATCCAGGTAAAATTCAAAATGCATACTGTTAAGTAACTGTTTCCATTGAAATTTACAATCCAATGAATCCATGGATATTATATGGGATTTTGATAAAAAAAATGGAAATAAAAAAACTTTTTATACATCTGATAACAATTTGCAGCTAATAAAATTTTTATTTTGTTTATGCCGGCCATGTTATAATGTTCATCCCTATAATTTTTTTTATGTCTCTAGATTTTCCACCACTACCAGACCAGACCCAGGGTGCAGAGGGTGGAAGCAGCATTGCCAATATATGGGTTTTTAGGCCCAAAGCATTGCCAACTATTTTCAAGATGCGTCGGCAGCGTCGCCGGGTAATTTTTAATGAAAAGCTATTTATGCAGAGCAATGAAAGCAAGTGTCTACTGAACATGTGATAATGCAGTATAACTGCTCTAATGTGACCGCAACAGTGGCGGCAACACGCTGAACATGTGACTGCAACACGCTCAACATAGTCAACTAGTATGCAATCGCAAACTTGTTGTTTACATTTGCGTAGTATATTTTGGCGGGAACTCATCGGAACTGATTTCAGGACAAGCTTTACTGCATCCTGATCCATCCAACGTATCAGAAACCTAGTATGGAATATATCTACTTGGCGAGCCGCGACTGAATTTTTTGAGCCGTGGTTTTATGGATTTGCCAGCCGTGATTCCATTTCTACG